CAAATTTACGAGTGGTCAAAAATAGGAGAGAGGAGGGACGAGGGTATTTTGGCTCCCTTGATGGTCCAATAAATGTTATTGTTATAATTAATATTAGGTGCTGAATGGTGATATTAGTGGGCTGAACGGTGAAATTAATGTGTTGGATGGTGATAGTGTGCTGAATGGTAAAATCAATGTGCTGAATGATAAAATTAATTTGCTGAATGGTGAAATAATGTGCTGAATGTTAAAATCAATGTGCTGAATGGTGAAATGAATGTGCTGAATGGTAAAATAAATGTGCTGAATGGTGAAATGAATGTGCTGAATGGTAAAATAAATGTGCTGAATGGTAAAATAAATGTGCTGAATGGTAAAATAAATGTGCTGAATGGTAAAATAAATGTGCTGAATGGTAAAATAAATGTGCTGAATGGTAAAATAAATGTGCTGAATGGTGAAAAAAATGTGCTGAATGGTGAAATAAATGTGCTGAATGGTGAAATAAATGTGCTGAATGGTGAAATGAATGTGCTGAATGTTGAAATAATGTGCTGAATGGTGAAATAAATGTGCTGAATGGTGAAATAAATATGCTGAATGGTGAAATAATGTGCTGAATGTTGAAATAATGTGCTGAATGTTGAAATAATGTGCTGAATGTTGAAATAATGTGCTGAATGTTGAAATAATGTGCTGAATGTTGAAATAATGTGCTGAATGGTAAAATAAATGTGCTGAATGGTGAAATGAATGTGCTAAATGGTGAAAATAATGTGCTGAATGGTGAAATGAATGTGCTCAATGGTGAAAATAATGTGCTGAATGGTGAAATGAATGTGCTCAATGGTGAAAATAATGTGCTGAATGGTAAGTATAACAATATACGTGCAAGCATATGATTTATACACATACATACTTTTGAAGAGAATTTCTTTACAGGATTAGACGGGGTCTCTTAGTCCAAATAATGATCGGGATTAAGACTCTCAGCTTAATCCATCCCCCTCCCCCTTTTTTTTCCCCAACTAAAAAAAAAAGCACAAACACACGCACGCATTGTTCATCCACTGATAGCACGAATGGGAACAGGAGTGCTTCAGTCTATGCAGATCTGGCAAACAGGTTGTAAGTGCCGCCGGCGATATGACTTCAGGTCACCTGACCATGTTTATACAGACGTGACTCTGGCTGGTGACATGCAGACTTGCGGGTGCCAGATCTTTATGGATATAGCGATGTCTGCTTGTCAGTGTGACTGTTTATTAACCTGTCGAGGAATGCCAGGTTAGCTGTCTGAAACTTCTACTACTAATATTACTACTGCTGCTGCTGCTGCTGCTACTGCTGCTACTACTACTACTACTACTACTACTACTACTACTACTACTACTACTACTACTACTACTACTACTACTACTACTACTACTACTACTACTACTACTACTACTAGGACTACCAATACGACTACCAATACGACTACCATGGGTTTGATTATTATTATTATTATCATTATCACTACTTCTACTACTACTAATACTACTACCTTTACTATTACTACTACTACTACTACTACTACTACTACTACTACTACTACTACTACTACTACTACTACTACTACTACTACTACTACTACTACTACTACTACTACTGCTGCTACTATTATTACTACCTCTACTTCTCCTACTGCTGCTGCTGCTGCTACTACTACTACTACTACTACTACTACTACTACTACTACTACTACTACTACTACTACTACTGCCACCACCACCACCACTACTACTAATACTACTACTGTTATTGATATCATTATTTGTATCATTATCTACTATTACTCTACTGCTGGTCCTATCACTATTATTGCTTATTTCGGTCTTGGGTGTTGATGACAACCAGTCCTGTACATTCCAGGGCGTCGTAGACCAGTTCCAGTACTTTTTGTTTCATTAAATAAAGGTACGTTCAATAGTTTACCATTGCCTTTAACGGTGCGATGCTTATCATCACTATGTAGCATGTCCTTTGCAGAACGTCGCTCTCATTACAGTCTGCCTGAAAGAAACTCGGTCTCTCGCCAGTTCATCCGCCTCATCTATTTTCATACTCAAGGAGTCACTTATATCCTGTGCCCGTCTTCGAGTCGGTCGGTCCCCGCACCTCCTTCCTGGTACCATGCCTTTTGCTATAAGTTTTTTTCCAATCCGTCGTGGCGCTTGATATGACCAAAATATTTCAGCTTCCGAGACAGGATGCTATTTATTAGCCAATCTTCCTTGATGTTCAGATCTTTCAAGATGTCAGTATTTCTCCTCTTCTTTGTCCAAGATATTCTGAGAATCTTTCTAAAGCATTTCAGCTCAAAAGCCCCTATTCTCTTTCTTAAGGACTGAGAGATAGTCCACGACTCACATCCGTATGTTGCTACAGGAAAGATGCATGCTCTCAAAATTCTAATTTTGATCTGCTTGCTGATGCTTAACCATAGACTTTAACGGCTGTTCAATCTTTGCATTGCTATGGCCATTCTCCTTTTAATTTATGTCAAACAGCCTCCATTGCTGTTTATTATAGAGCCTAGATATTTAAAGTTAGTTATACCTCTGTCAAATCAACTCAAGGCGATCTGCTCCCAAATCTCCTTCAGAACCTGTTCTGCTGGGATTGTGGAACGGCGTTCACAACCATTATGTAACAGGCGCCGACTGCTGATTAAAAATAAGATATTTATGTATAATTTTATTTCAAAATTAAATGTGAACAGCGCTTCAATATTAGATTTTTTTAAAGAGATGTGGATTACACTGATGTTTACAAACATCTGATGCGATTTTGTTTTGTTTTGTTTCCAGTACTCATTTTCCACATTGGAGCCGTGTTCTAATCAAATTTCCTGGAAAATAAGACTAGGTCTTTTAATATATTTTGTATTTAAACGGAATGTCTTATTTATTCACGCACATAAATATACACTTATAATTATTTGTTTAAAGCGTTAATGTCAATAATTTAAAATTTTTACATTGATTTATACATTCCTTAGCATTGTTTGTTTGTTTGTTTTAGTATCCATAAGCCATGAGTTGTTGACCCTTAGGCTCGGTATAATGGATATCGCAACCTTTCGGCCTGATTCCATTGTAAATACTGTAAATCTGGGAGAAATGTGGCTTTTCTGCCTAAACCCGGGAGTGAACCCGGACAACAAGGAGTTCGTCACCCGGTCACCGCGCAATCCGGTTTAGCTATCTACGCTAGAGAGCCGGACTTTCCTTATAATTAACTGCCTCGTCTACTGGCGTGGGTGATCAAGATTCTCCGCAAACAGATGGCGATCTTCAACAGTATATATCCGTTTATGTGCTGACACCCCTCCATGCCGTGATTGTAAAACGGCTGTCAAAAATATTCACACAATGTTTTCTTCTATCTTCACCGCCCATCCCCTTCCAATCGCTTCCACCTACCCACAGATTTTTCTAGAGGTCACATCTTCTAGTTTCTCTCTTCTCATAACATGACCGATGTATACATTCATTATACTAAAATGCAGATCGTCCGTCGTGTTTTTCAACGGACGAACGAAAACTGTCCGTCTGGCTGTCAGTCTAAACTAATACTTGTATTTGTGGTACAGCTGTAGTGCTGACCACATCACCCATCAAGTGCCGGTGGTGAATACAAATACAGGCCTAGCCCTATATGCCTAGTACGCCTGAATGCGTGGAAATATGTCCGTTACTTTTACTGACTTATGTTATAGCTGATTTTATGAGCATCTGTAAAATAACGTGAGGATCTGTTTTTCGTGTTAGGTTTTTTCTATGCAAACGCTTCGTAATGCCGGGGTGCGGGTTCGATACCAACTGCGGGCCATGTGCCTTGCGTTGGTTTTGACAGTGGTATCGGGGGACCGACCGTCCAGCGAGCAATGGCAAACTACTGGACGTAAATTTGCCTAGAGAAACCACACAACAGCCAGGGACTGCTTGGGTTGGTTCTGCAACGTCCTGTAAAGGATACGCAACTAACCTGAGACAGGTTGACAAGGTGGTTAGTGCGGTCATGCTGCAGTACGGGTTGTAGTCAACCAGTCAACGGCTTATCCACAATAAATGACGACTTCAGGTGAGCCCTAGCATGCCCTGTCTTGTTTTCCTTGTACACTCTGCAAGACTACCGTGTGTCCATCTCTTAAATGTTAGCTCCCCTCCCGCCCCACTTGTATTGCTGCTCATGTCTTGCTTGCTGACCTTTAACTATTCCATCCAATATGGATTTTCTCAGAGAGTACTTTATTTTTGATTCACCCCAAACAAAGAGAATCTCGGAGTTTCTGGGAAAGTCCATAGTTATATTGGTGTTATGGGTTGGCTTAGGATCTTTGGCCAATAATCAGTGACAATTTTGTGTGTGTTATAATAATCCTTAATTTTGTTTTTCATTTCAGTCGTCCATCAGTGCACATTTGTTCAGGACGTCTGCAAGGGATACGTGCATTTGAGGGGAATCTGAGACGGTCTGCCTCGGCCTTGCGAGCTGTGCCCGTCTCTCTTCTAATATTGCCCTGTGCGTATTACGAAATCTCTATAACAAAATAAAGGCAACAATTTTAGTTGAAAAAAAATACTGGTTGAAGCGCTAATTATTGGAAAGAAAGAAGAGGACATGCGAGCATGAAAACACTGCACTTATAACTAATACGTTGTTAAATTATCAGTACTAGACTTCACACACTGGTCAGGAAAACCGGCCATCTTACAGCTTCTCCAGATAAAATCATCATGTGATATGAGCTCCTATTTCCAATTACGTCTGCGAAGTATCAGCTATAATTACGACTGCCACTCCTATAAGCCAGATGGTCATAGAAGTATCCGGAACAACTAACTTGACCTGCCACTGCTGCTTCGTTGATTGCCTGATTTAACGGCTTGTTGATATCAAAGCGACTACCTGACGTTGTGTTGAACTTTCTGGGATTTACTTTTGACCCCTACAAATCCACAGTGGTCGTAATGTCGGCTCTGTATTTTTCAAAGCAGTTCATAGTGGATGTCTTTATTTTTATCCTAGGTAAGTACATCTTGTTTCCATTCCTCTAATCCTGTTCTCGTGTACCTTTGTGACGTCGAAGTGATCTATTAATAGCACGCGAGTGCCTCTTTGTGTGTTGTTTGAAGGGATTCTAAGAAACAATATTGCCTTCTGTCCATTGCACATAGCATACGATTAAATTTTCCAAAATGAGTCATAAAATGGGGCATAGGAGGGGGTGGAGGAATGATCCAGAGGGCGGTGGTAGCCACTGGGGGATGGAGCACCTATTAACGATGATGCAGAGGGGGAAAAGGGGGCGGGTGTGTGCAGGGGGTTGGTAGGAGCCTCCGACTACAAAAAAGTGCAACGCGGAGATTTGAGAATGCTGCTGACAAAAATAGAATCTAACATTCATCGATCGATGTGGGGATGATCATCGATATGTCAGAATAGAATTTGCTGTGAAACGGTGAATTTTAGTACTCTCTCTGTTTCTCTGTCTCTGTCTCTCTCTCTCTCTCTCTCTGATTCTAGGATTGACTGCCTCCCTCCCACTAATTCACAGACTCATTATCTCTCACACACCCTTTCAAACTCTCTTTTCTCTCTCTCTCTCTCTCTCTCTCTCTCTCTCTCTCTCTCTCTCTCTCTCTCTCTCACACACACATACACACTACATAATAACATAACATAGCCCTTGACTCGTTAGGGTCGTGGAAGTGTACTGATGGAAGCATTATCATATAAAACCCGCCTTCTTTCCGTCTTCCGCTTGATGAAAAAGTGTATGATAACGAAGTCCTGTCCATTTCTTAATGTTGTCAATCCAGGTTCTTCTTTGCCCTCCTCTTCTACGACTACCCACCAGTTTTCTTTTAAGCACAGTGTTTGCAATCGAACCATGTCTCACCACGTGCCCACGCCAAGCTAGCTTGCGACGTTTTACCACTGCCAAGAAAGGCTTCTGATGTCCTGCAATATATTTTGCCCATATATATATATATATATATATATATATATATATATATATATATATATATATATATATATATATATATATATACACATATATATATATATATATATATATATATATATATATATATATATATATATATATATATATATATATATATATATATATTCCATATTTATTCCCTAGACCCCACCCTTGGTAGTAGCTACTCCATCTTTTTTAGCATGGTTTCCAATCAGGCAATCGCCAAAGGAATAAGACAATGTCTGGTTTCTTTGTATCGGATCACACATGGCCAGGTTTTTGCAATCACACAAATAAAAGAAAACATTTTTCACCAGGTGGCAGTTAACATTTCCTTTGTTTGCTTTTCGTTTATGTGCGTTAGTGTTTTACTTTTATGTCTTCTTCTAGTTCGACTCTAGGATGCGTCAGTTCTGTTAGATTTGTTTATTTGCTTAGTCACAGTAAATATCTCAAAATCTGATCCTGCATTTCGTTTAACAAATATTTACGTTTTCTAAAATCGTAAGTGCTTGTGTTTGCACAATCTTCACCGGCACACGATTGTAGGCTACATCGGGCTGGTTTAACCGATACAGGTTCCCTAATTAGAACTTTTATAGAGGTTGAACGGGGTATCCAAATTTGTACACTGTTGGTCTGCCATCCACACTGTGAGTTTTGTATGTCAAGGTGGTAAACTTTAGGTAGCAGCTTCGAGGGGACATATCGATCTACTGAAGTCTTGGGGATGCTATATGGATTCCTCATGAGCTCTTCTCTAAGCACTGTATGAGTTGGCTTCATTTCCTGAAGGCTGTACCATCTGTTGTGCAGCAGTTGGTACCTGGGCATTCTTGTAAGATAACCAAACCATCTGATTTATTGATCTGTAAAAAACTTTATGACTGGTTTCAATTCAAGTCTTCATCTTCTTCGTCTTCACCGTAAACACCGCTGTGGTCTCCAGGATCAAGTTCTTGTTGTTCACAAACTTTTAGACTTCAGTCTTGTTCCAGAACCTTAGTGTTGCGTGCACATCTATTTTTTAAATCCGACTTATTTATCTACAGACTGTTGGTTCCTCGCCTCATAGGCAGACAGCGAAGGTTTCAATTTCTCCATTGTTAAATATTATATCTTTATGTAACTCCGACGGCGCTTGTACGACACCTCGTCTCTGAATGTTGTGATTCAGTAGCTATAGTAAAGGTCCAAGACTGAAACTGGTAACCTACAACCAAAAACAAAAACTAGTAGATGGTGATCCAACCAAAGACAAAAACTAGTAGATGGCGATCCAACCGAAGACAAAAACTAGTAGATGGCGATCCAACAGGATACAAAAACTAATAGATGGCGATCCAACGGAGGACAAAAACTAGTAGATGGCGATCTAACCGAAGACAAAAACTAGTAGATGGCGATCCAACGGGAGACAAAAACTAGTTAGATGGCGATCCAACCGAAGACAAAAACTAGTTAGACGGCGATCCAACGGGAGACAAAAACTAGTAGATGGCGATCCAACGGGATACAAAAACTAATAGATGGCGATCCAACGGGAGACAAAAACTAGTAGATGGCGATCCAACCGGAGACAAAAACTAGTTAGATGGCGATCCAACCGAAGACAAAAACTAGTAGATGGCGATCCAACCGAAGACAGAATCTAGTAGACGGCGATCCAACGGGAGACAAAAACTAGTAGATGGCGATCCAACGGGAGACAAATCTAGTAGATGGCGATCCAACCGAAGACAAAAACTAGTAGATGGCGATCCAACCGAAGACAAAATCTAGTAGACGGCGATCCAACCGAAAACAAAAACTAGTAGATGGCGATCCAACCGAAAACAAAAACTAGTAGATGGCGATCCAACCGAAAACAAAAACTAGTAGATGGCGATCCAACGGGAGACAAAAACTAGTAGATGGCGATCCAACCGGACACAAAAACTAGTATATGGCGATCCAACTGGAGACAAAAACTAGTAGATGGCGATCCAGCCGGAGAGAAAACTAATAGATGGCGATCCAACGGGAGAGAAAAACTTCCTAATAACGATCCAACCGGAAACAAAAACTAGTAGATGATGATCCAACCGAGGAAATCTCAAATACCACGTTCAACCTCTAAACTAGTTCTAATTAGACAACAGTAACAGCTACTCTTAAGTTCGCCCCTGGTGTACTCTGCAATCCTGCTTTGGCAATAATATAAATTGATGTATGTCAATCCCTTATCAGTCGATTGATCAGACTGTCCCTCCGAGCTTCTGCCTAAATGTTTACATACCTTCCTGATCTCTCAGATACCTCGTTCAACCTACAAAGAAGTTGTAGATAGACCAGCCGTAACGGTTACACCAGCATAGGTTAACTTGTAGTCCGGCGTGAGTCAGGACATCAGACCCTGATATTCCGGTAATTTACACACACACGCACATACACACACACACACAGACACACACATATCCTAATATGAACACTCGTTATTTTGAACTAAAGGCTCTCAGATCTTCTCTGCGCTATAAAACTTACTCGACATTTACCGTTAGTTCTAACTGCCTAACCGTCTCAATTTCGGTACTCGGATTTTTACAACATATCGTAAATCCTCTGTTACTACTAATGTTTTTACTGTAACATTACATATGATGTGTAACTTCTGTGAAACAGATCATGTCTCTTCCTTTGGGGATGAAGTTGCACTTTAGGAGCCATGAAAGCGACCTAAATTCTAGAAATATTTACACATTTGTAATACATAAAACCTATAAACTTTTTTTTCTTCTTTATCTTCCCTTTTATCTTCCCCTTTATCTTTTCTTCTTCTTTTTCTTCTTCTTCTTCTTCTTCTTTTTCTTCTTCTTCTTCTTCTTCTTCTTCTTCTTCTTCTTCTTCTTCTTCTTCTTCTTCTTCTTCTTTCTTCTTCTTCTTCTTCTACTTCTTCTTCTTCTCCTCCTTCACCTCCTCCTCTACCTGCTTCTTTTCCTCCTCCTCTCCATAGAAGAAGAAGAAGAAGACATGACTTGCCGTCTGTTAGTCCATTCCGTTCTGTAATGGACACAATACTGGTAAATGACTGCTTAGAACAACAAAGAATTAAAAGTTTTCATCATTTGGTTGAACTGAACCAAATCAGCCAGCAGTCGGATCGTACTACGCGAGAACAGCAGGCTATAAGTCAACAGCGGACCAAGGAAGAGATGGATATCGGTTAGTTGCGTATCCTTTACAGGACGTTGCAGAACCAACCCCAAATACCCCTAGCTGTCGTGTGGTTTTTCTAGGCAAATTTACGTCCAGTAGTTTGGAAGAGGTCGGCTCTGTGGCTAAGTCGATGCGAACTCTTCGTAATGCCAGAATGCCGGGTTCTATCCCAGCTGCGGGCCATGCGCCTTGCGTTGGTTTCGACAGGGGTATCAAGAAAGCCGACAGTCCAAAAAGCAGTGGCAAACTACTGGACGTAAATTTGCCTAGAAAAACCACACAACAGCCAGGAGCTGCTGGGGTTGGTTCTGCAACGTCCAGTAAAGGATACGCAACTAACCTTTAAATTTGGAAGAGATGGATGGAGGAGATAAAAGAGACACTTCAAAACGCAATATGACACTAACAAAAGCTATACAACTAGCAAAGGACACCGCACTACATTTAACTCCTCTATACAACGCCTTGGTGCACAAACCATAGGTCACAAGAACAGAAAAAAAAAAAAACTTCTATCATTCTTCACCAGGAGTTGAACTCGAATGTTTCACATTAAAGCCTAGGGGTTTGACTGCTTCCGACATACTTCTTAATGGGCCTAATCTGTGTGCATTTAAGGGGAAATTTAGCAACGTGTCTAGAATTTCTGACATATCTCGCATGAAAACAAATGCCTTGTCAAACCCCACATTTCTGTACAGAAGACGTTTACACAACATTCATGGTGAGTGTCGGTTACTGTAAAAATATGTACATGAAACAACACAGCCACGCCCGTGTATAACAAGGTCAGCGTGGAAAAACACAACAATTCCGAATTTGAAACTAAACACACGCAAGC